ATTATTACTAAATAAAATATTAATAAATATAAAAATACTACATAAAATAAGAAATACTACTATGTAATATTTCACTGTAAAATAAAAAAAAGAGTATAAGAAAAATAATATAATTGTACTTTACATTAAACTGTAAAATTGCAGTACTAATATAATATTTATGGCTGTAACATTAAAAACGCAGATAACTCTAAAAGCTTCTCTTTAAAATGACTGATTTTAATTTTAAGGGTTTTTAAATTATTTAGAATTTGTATTTAGAAAGAAACAAACAATTTTGCACACATACTGTATAACTGTCACTACCAGGTGTAAAAGCTTCAGTTGGTTAATGATAACATTCCTGTATCATGCTGCAACCAACTCAATGTGAAGCAGAAATGCTTTGATGAACACTATAATCTATAGTCATGCCTGCATATGTTCATAAGGACCCTTCTAAGGGGCCAGTGAGAGATGCTGAGCTGCACTGCTGCATGGCATTAAAACATCTTGCAGCATGTGCTCTCTGGCACACTCAGGCAAGCAAGCACACTCACCGGCATACAAAATGAGCCCTTCATACCAAAGAGATGTGAAAGAGGGCAAAGAACAAAAAGAATAATTGAGTTTACATACAATAAATACACATATAAAAGAAACTGTACAAGGACTGAACATTTTAGAAACATCCTTGCTCTTTACTTAGTACAGGCAATACTGCAAATTAATTTTTGTAGCTACAAATAAAAATTCTGTCATCATTAATTCACCTGAATGGCTTTCTTTCTTATGAGGAACAAACAATTAGACATTTTGAAGAATCTTCAAACAGGTGATTTAATGAGCAACAGTCACTATAGAAAATACCTGTGATATGAATACTAGTAATGACAAACTTTTATACTACGGGCCCGGGGCCGTTGAATGCTTGAATCTGATTGGCTGACGAACGTTCTGAGGTGTGCAATTATTTTCAGAGAAACGCATGGCGAACGTAGTTCCAGGCAGCTCTCTTGACCGCATTACAGTTCCATATCACTTTGCATAGTTAACTGTAATAACGGAAATTAGCATACAGTACCTATACAGCACACAGGAATTACTGCAATCACACGTGCTCGTACAAGCACACTACGGTCACGCAGTTTGCACAAAAAGGTGTTGTCAGCACTGCCCTGACGATTTTATCAGTTAGCCTATATAGTGTAGCAACTTAAAGGCTACACATGACATTTCTTACTAACGAGGTAATAACAGCGCTGTTTAGAGACTGCTGCAGAACACTGTTGAGGGACGCACAGAGGTAGCCTAATTCACACAAGCTCTCTCTCTCTCTCTGTGTGTCTCTGTCTCTCTCGCTCTCTTTCTAATAACTTCATTAATAACTGCATTAGAATGCTATCAACGGCCCAAGCCTCCATTACCAGCTTTAAAATGACGTTTTGGAACTAGCAAAAGAGGCGTTGGATGAGATGCGGAAGAAATAATCCTACTCACAATAGCGATTTAAGTACAAAAACCGGACAAATCCCTTTAAATATATCATCTGATCGATGTCTTGAGGTGTGGTAACCGTAGTATAAGCAGAATAATTGACTCCGGGCCGTTGAATTATTAGAAAAATAATGCACACCTGAGGTGTGGTCTTAAAATAGCAATAATATCATTTATCGCAATTCATTTTGCTGCAATATATCGCACAACAAAAGTAGTTATCGTGACAGCCCTACATACAGTACCTATACAGCACACAGGAATTACTGCAATCACACGTGCTCGCACACGCACACTACGGTCATGCAGTTTGCACAAAAAGGTGTTGTCAGCGCTGCCCTGACGATTTTATCAGTTAGCCTATATAGTGTAGCAACTTAAAGGCTACACATGACATTTCTTACTAACGAGGTAATAACAGCGCTGTTTAGAGACTGCTGCAGAACACTGTTGAGGGACGCACAGAGGTAGCCTAATTCACACAAGCTCTCTCTCTCTCTCTGTGTGTCTCTGTCTCTCTTGCTCTCTTTTTAATAACTTCATTAATAACTGCATTAGAATGCTATCAATGGCTCAAGCCTCCATTACCAGCTTTAAAATGACGTTTTGGAACTAGCAAAAGAGGCGTTGGATGAGATGTGGAAGAAATAATCCTACTCACAATAGCGATTTAAGTACAAAAACCGGACGAATCCCTTTAAATATATCATCTGATCGATGTCTTGAGGTGTGGTAACCGTAGTATAAGCGGAATATTTGACTCCGGGCCGTTGAATTATTAGAAAAATAATGCACACCCGAGGTGTAACGGCCACGACGCGAGGGTGTGCATTATTTTTCTAATAATTCAACGGCCCGTCGTCAATTATTCCTTACTTAAAGTCAGAACTGCATATTTAGAACTGATCTGGTGCAGTGAAGTATCTGGAAGATTTGAGGGTCCTTACCATCAACATTATCCGGCCTGAAGGTAATTTTGATGCTGAATGCATGGTAGGCGTTTCTGATAGTGTGGAGTGTGAGGTATGAGAGTGGCTCCTGGGTAAAATAGGGCATCATTCTCTCTGGAAGACCATATGAACATGAGTGAATGTTAGAGAGACAAGTAGAACATCTCAGAAACTCTTCAGAGTAACAAATAGCTCATGAAAAACATGTCTTGGTGGTGGTAGCATAATAGTTAAGGATGTTTCCAAATCTCCACACTGTAAGACATCCAAAAAGCAGCATTTCATAAGTCACTTTGGATAAAAATATCTGCTTAATGACATTTAACCAGATCCTGTGGAGATGTTTAAGCAGAACTATACTTGTTAAACCATCCAGATTAAATCAGTACTCTCATCACAAAGCCACAATTGCAGACAAGCAGCATTGTGACTAAAGACTTACTCTGGAAAAAATATGTAACTACAGACAGAACGGACTTGCATACAGACCATGAACAACGAGTCTGGTGAAGGCCTCGACTTTTCCTTGCTTATTAGCAGCCGTACACGCGTACGTTCCTGCATCTGTGTGTGTGACACCAGGGACTGTCAGGACATGGCCATCCTGGCTGCACTTAGGGGGCAACTCATTCTCCACCTGAAAGAAGAGCACACATGGGCGTAACGATCTCTTTTTAAAGTGAACAGAACCATGTTTAGTACTCTACACACCAAAAATATATGGTATAATAGGATTTTGGTGTTTTGAATTAGGGCAAATGTAGGTTACCTTTGACCATGTGATGGTTGGGACTGGGTATCCAGATGCAATGCAAGGCAAGACCGCATCAGAGCCAACAGTTACGTCCTTTGACTCAGGCTGTGCAGAAATCTGAGGCAAGGCTACAAAGTGCATTGGATTCAGGATTCAGCTTGTTGTTTTTAAGGTGTCACATAATACAAATAAAAACCACTGGCAAAAGAAGCATCATAAACATCCTGGATATTATAATGTACTCACACTGGATATTAAGGACCACCTGGTTATACTCCGAGCCAACATTATTAGTGGCTGTGCAGCGGTACTGTCCTGAATCTGATTCGACCACATGATCAATCCTCAGGATGTTCCCCCTTATTTCCACATGATCGGGAAGAGAGCCTCCCACTTTACTCCAGCGCACCGTGGGCTCAGGATCACCGATCGCATGGCACTCAAACTCCACTGAGTTGCCCACCATCACCGTCTGTACTGATGTGCGCACATTGATCATCACTTTGGGTAGAGCTGTAAAGACAAAGAGCACAAAGTCATTGGTTTTAAAGTTGAGTAAACCAAGATTTGGAAACATATTGGATATCATAACGGACCTTGAATGGTGAGTTTGCCACTGTCCTGAGCCTGTCCAAACAGACTTGTAGCTCTGCAGGTGTAGATTCCCTCATTGCTTTGCTCAAGGTTCTCAATTCTGCACAAATATTATAAATAAAAGACACAACATAATTCAAAACATTAGGGTATTTTATTGCAAATGATATTACATATCCCAAAGAAAATATTATTTAACACAAAATACATCAAAAACTGCATACAAAATCATTCAACAACGTCATCATTTTGTTATAATCAGCTAAACTGATCATTTCTAAACAGTTTACTGTAGTAATTTTTTTTAATTATTACCTTATTTTAATTATTAAAAAAGTAATTTTGTGCACTACCCTGTTAAAAAATTACTGACATTACAAAAACAATAAATATAAAAAAATAGTATTCCTTAAAAGTAGCATTATTTTCTCACTTTTTACACAATTTGTAGTGTTAACAGCAATCTTGACCATTCAATTAAATTCCATTACTGTAAGTTTGTGAAAGAAAAATGATCAAACATATTTTTCATTCAAGTTATGGGGAAAATACACTAGAGTTTTTTTTTTACAGAGATGAATACTTTTAATTTAGCAAGGACATATTAATTGATCGAAAGGTAACAGTAAAGGATTTTCAATTGCTACTAACAAAATTCTATTTAGAAATAAACTTTGAAATGTATCACAGTTTCCGCAAACATACTAAGCATCACAACTGTTTTCAAGATAACAGTAAGAAATGTTTATTGAGAATCAAATCAGAGTATTGTGATTTCTGAAGGATCATGTGGCACTGAAGACCGGAATAATTGGTGTTTTGCCATCACAGGAATAAACTGCATTTTGAAATATGTGAAATAGACAAATGTTATTTTAAATTGTCATTTTATTTCACAATACTACTCTTTTACTCTATTTTTGATTAAATAAATGCAGCCTGGGTGAGCATAAGAGACTGTTTTCAAAAACATTAAAAATATTTTGAACAATAGCGTAAGTTTATTAATAAACACAAACCAACATTTGGTGGCGATTAGTCAACCCCTCCTTAATCATATAGATCTGGAACCTTGTTACCCACTCTGACGTTTTTAAATCTGATAAATTTTGCTTAATTATAATATTTATTATTTATCTATAACTTCATGGTTTTAAGGTGCTTTATAAATAAATAAATGATTGATTGATTGTCAATGTTGATATTAGCTGAGACTCACCTGAGCACTCCGTCTTTAATGTGATGATTTGGTGGAAGAACTCCCCCCTCCTTCAGCCATTCAATCTCAACGTGAGACCCTCCTTTAGCAGCACAGGTAAACTCCACAGCGCTGCCCAGAGCCTTCACTTCTACCTGTGGGGACACTTTCACTGACAGGGGTGCTGCAGGACACAGAGGTCAGAGGTCAAGCTGAATGCTAGTTAGAATTCATCTGATGATCACTTTGTGAGTGAAGGAATGCATGAAGCATGTATTAAAGTGAACTGTCAGTACTCACATCGGACAGAGACTCTGGCCAGCGCTTCACTCTTGCCAACCTTGTTGCTGGCCACACACTTGTAAGTCCCAGCATCGCTCTCCTTGGCCAGGTTGATCTGGAGGTCTCCTCCTTGCTGCTGAGCAGTAGGAGGCAAGCTGCCATTGACCTTAGTCCACTCAAAACGCAGGGGTGGGGTGCCACGGGCCAGGCACTGCAGGCGGATTACTTCACCCACTCGCACGGACACGTCATCGGGCAAGGAAGTGGCATAGGGTGGGGCTGCTCCAACCAAAGAAATGTCAGTTAGAGGATGTTGGATAATTACCACTGGCTCATTTTAGAGAGCTTTACAACAACAGGAAAATATGCTTCACACTTCTTGGAAAAATTCAGACGAAAGCTACAATGTTAAAATGTACAAATATATAAAAAAAAAAAAAGAAATTATTTTTGTTGTGTTTTCCACCAAACAATATTTTGATTTAAACCAAATTAAATTACCTTTTACATTTTTTTCTGAGGAATCTTATTTAGTGCATTTGGTTATACTTTTTATTTTAAAGTGTCCTTGTTACAGTGTAATTATACATTTAAGTACTGAGTAATATTAATTAACCTCATGTACATACTATATGGTAAGGGTTAGGATTAGGGTTTGGCCTAAGGTTACTTGCATGTAATTATGCATAATTTATTGTTATTATAATAGTAAGTACATGTAACATGTGTAACAAGGCCACCTTAAAATAAAGTGTTACCGTGTATTTTTCTTACCCTGTTGCCATCTTGTTTTAAACTTAATCTAAATAATTTTGTGAGGTTTATGTTTAAAACAAGAAAAAAGTGTACCAATGGAGTAAGAAAATAAATAAAATTACAAGATAAATTAATTAAATGTATATTATCTAAAATGTATTAATATTTTATTAAATGTAGAAAATAGGTACAATTATAATATATTTTAGATGTTTAGATATTTTTTCTGGCAACCAAGACAAAAATACTGATTAAGAAAATAATTTTTGCAATGGACATGAAAATTTGTAGACTATAAACTAGAAGATAAATTAATTCAATAGAAATGATCTAAAATGTATTAATATCTTATGAAAACCTACAAATATCTAATGACATTCTGAACATTTAACATGTTTTAAGGATATTTAGATTTGTTTTCTGGCAAACAAAAATACTGAATAAAAAATGAAAAATAAACACTAAAAATACTGATTATAAAAATCTTTTTTTTTTTTTTTTTTGCAATGTACGCGTGTATAATAATTTTGTAATAAATATCTAGATGTCAGACATTATTGTTCAAAAAGGATGTATGATAAATGTTTTTCAAAATATATTCTCTAAAGTCATAATATTATAAACACTTTTGCTTCAAGTACATTTATTTGATTTGGGGGAAGTTTTTCTGGAAAACAAAGTAAAATATAATTAAGAAAACTATCTTTGAAGTGTAAAATGAACATGAATCAGATAGACAAGGAATAGAAACAATCATCTCTAAGAATAAATTAAGCTCACAGTCTACTTCCAGCATGATGGTGACTTCACTTGTGCCCATGTGGTTGGTTGCATTGCAGACATATTGACCAGAGTCCTGACGGCCCACATTAGGTAAGACCAGGCTGTTGTCAACAATCTTGTGTCTCCAAGGCAGAGAAGACCGTTCTTTAGACCACGTGATGGTGGGCTTTGGGAATCCTTTAGGTAAGATAATAAAGATAAAATAAAGCTTTAAGGCACACTCTTTAATAGCAGACTGCTTTCATTTTCACCTATTGTATTTTAACAGTCATAACTTTCAACCGCCGCTTACGGTTGCACCTACCATGGGCGTCGCAATGAAGTGTTGCGGTTGATCCCTCTACCACAACTATCATAGGCTCACGTACGCTGGCACGGGGAACAGTGGGCACCTGAGGCCCTCCTTCAACAAACACCTCTACTCGAGTTTCAGTTGTGCCCTGGTTGTTCTGTACAGTGCACACATACGTGCCACTGTCTTCCGGCCGTGCAACTAAGATCTGAACATAGAATGAAACACACTTTGATTAACATATAGAAGCAAACGATTGTGAAATCAACAACGGCTCAACTTCAGACGGCCCATAACCTGCATGATAGCACTGGAATCGACAGGCACGGGGCTGCTCAGAATCGTTCTGCGGTTGTTGTCTAGTCTGTGCCATCTGACAGAGGGTCTTGGCTCTCCAGCGGCCTGGCATTCGAGATTGATGGGATCGCCGACCCTGATTCGCACCGATCCTGCAGGGGTCACTACAGCCTTAGGAGATTCTAAGAATGAAATCAGACAAAAATATAAGAATAGGCTTATAAGATGGAGCAACAAAAGTATCTGAACATAAATGTTTGAAAAACTGAAACCAAAAATGGTGTGCACCAACTGGAATATTATTAATGATTGTTTCTGAACTGGCTTACCTCTCACGATGAGTGAAGCTATGCTGTGGGTCATTCCGAACAGGTTGCTGGCCACACAGCGATAGGTGCCCTGGTTTTTGGCTTGGGCATTGGTAATAGTCATGAGTGAATTGTCAGGACCAAACTTCACGTTATCTACAGAACATATGAAAAGAAGCAACATCATTTCTATTCAGGCATCATATTAATTGACGACTGACATGAAAGTGAATTGCAGCAGTGTACCTGGCAGAGGCAGGTTGTTGGTGGGTTTCCACTCTAAGCGCACCAGCTGGGCTCTGCTGTGGACCCTGCACCTGAAGCTCGCTGACTCGCCCTGCTTCACTGCTGCGCTGTGTGGCTCAATGGAGATAATGGGGCTCTGGAGACCTACTCCACAATTAGGCAACAAAATACAGTAGGCACATGTTGAGCAAACACATTAAACAGGACTTAGGCTAAAAGTGCCATTGAGAGTGGCAAAAATATTCCACACATTTAAAATGTGGAGGACAAATCTGCCTATGTAGTGCAGTCTTCTAATTTTTGAACTAGTTATGGGTTTAGTGCTTCTCTTGATAAAGTAGTGAATTCTTCTTGTCATATTAATTCTGTATTTGCTATCTCAGTCATTTTTAGTCTTTTTTTCGCCCTAATCATTGTTTTTCCTCATGATCATGTAAGGATATTTTAACATTTCCAGGAGTGTGTGGTGATATTTTTAAAAATATACAATACATTAATATAAACTGGGGCTTGCAGGACGACCAAGTAGCCAGGTCAGATGTTATCTTACGTTAATAAGAGGTTGCATTAACTTATTTCTGCAAATTTTTTAAATTACATTCATCATTCGGAGAGATAAAATGCAAAACAACACAATACATGTAAATTTTCTATTATTAAATAAGATTTAAATAAATGTTGCTGACCACATGAGAACTACATTTCTGGGTTCGTAGCATCATAAAACTTGTTCCACTGTATATAAATCATCATCAGATTGTATGAGTTTATCACTGAGAAGCCATGCAAATTTATGTTTACAGACATTAATGTTTAGACAAAAATTAAGCAAAAATGGTGTTCACCAAATGGAATACCACTAATAACGGTTTCTGAATTGGTTTTCCAAAAACTCCTAATGCCCCCTCATATCATCTTTTGTTTTGCTAGGTTGTGTCAAATGTTGCAAATGTAAATGTATGACGTCCCCATGAGAAACAATTACTGTCCCAATAGGGCTTAAGAAGAGAGCTGTATAATTTAACATTTCAATCAGTGGTGAGCGGTGACTTTTTTAACCGGGTATGCTGAGTGCTAAGATTAAGAGCTCATTAGCATTTAAAGCGACATGCAATAAAACAGCTTGCTGTAGACAGAGCTGTTTCTGACAGGGTAAAAACGGTGTTGTTTTACACTACCATTGAGAATTTTTAACCAAACTATGTTACTGACTTTTCATTAAGACCCTAAAGAATCATATCAACTGGAAAATGGGCATCCGATGACCCCTTTAAGTATTTGACATAAAATGGACACCATTATGGAAAAAAATATATAATCAAATATGAAATATCATCAAATGAATTTTTGTGACACAGCAAGAGATGAAGGGCTGAAGTCATGAAAAACCAAAATATGAAGATAGATGACATTTGACAACATTATGAAATAGCCTCTGCCTTCATAATAGCATGTTTGGTTAATGATCTGCAAGATGAACATGATTGGCCATTGATACTTTCCTGTTTCTCATCAATCTAGGGGACTTACGGGAGGAGCTGGACGTCACAGACACAGATACAGAAGCCTGACGGGGGAATGGGCCGTCCTCCACCTGACAGATATATTCTCCAGTGTCATCTGCAGAGGCCTGCAGGATCCGCAGCTGAGCTCCCAAAACCTTGAGTCAAATGCACATGAAAGCACACATATGGTTCATATATTTAACACATTTGGCTCAAAGATCTGTCATACACACTTCACGTAAATCAAATATGCCTCATAGTGGACTGAGATAAAACCTGATGATTGGATGACAGCAGGCCGCCTGCCCTGTTCCATTTGACAGATGCTGGAGAGGTTCCTGGGATGATGCAATTAAGATCTAGAGTCTCTCCCTCCATTACAGAAGCAATAGAGGGCTGGATGGTGACTCCAGAGGGGATGATTTCTCCTGACCACCATGACAGAATAATATTACTATTCTATCCTAAAAATACTAGTCTAAAATGAATGGACTTGCCTCACCTCTTTTTACAAAGACCTCAACATGAGCTTCTGAGGAACCAACAGTGTTAGTTCCAACACAGAGATATGTGCCTGCATCAGACGACCTGATATTGGGTACGAGGAGAGTGCCGATGTCAGTGCGCTCCATGCGGGCCTGAGGAAGATATGGATGTATGGATATTTGAGGTACATTTTTTGTTATTTTATATGGAATCTAAGACATTATTGCTGCGATAATTTTCTGTAAATCTGCTTTGAAATCATGTACATTGTAAAAAGTGCTAAATAAATAAATTGGCTTGACTTTTTGTGAACAAGTAAGTTTGGTCAATAGGAACAGAATAAACATAACAGCATTAATAATAGAAGACAATTTAATACTCAATACTTACCTTGACAAGACTTACTTTAAATAAAACAGTTTAAATACATTAATATACAGTAATACCTGCAAATAAATTAAGTAAAAACTGAGTAAAAAGTGATTTTTGTTAAGAGGCTATCACCGTGTCCTAACCAAGACTACGTAGTGTGATGTGATGCAACTGAATTGTTCGTAAACACAGCCAATCAGAACAATTCTCTCACTTTCTCACACCTGCAATGCACTGTAGCTGAAGAGTGCAAAACACATACCTCATATTTTCATGACTTCAGCAATAATTTAGCATATTTGTTATGTTTTTTTACGGAAATTGTCATATCTACTATATACTTGACTTTATTATTGTCTTAGTCATTTATCTATAGTAGATAATAAATCAGAGGTCAAACTAATTCACAGAAAATTGCTTTATTACGGCACTTATTACTGTGTTGCAAAACTGTGGATAATATTCAATTCTACATTTCCACAATCAGGCTATGTTTCATCCTGCAGGGCTCATACCTATGACCTAATCCCTAAGAAGGGTTTAGCCTCCACAATCAAGTGAAAGCTTGATGAGAAAGGGATGAGGGGTGTAGGGGACCAAAAAACTGTTCCTTGGAACTCACTTTTGTGTCTTGCCTAATTCAACCTAGACCAAGCATAATGGGAGAGAAGCCTCCATTATTTGTACCCTTTGAAATTCTTCATTCCGAAGGGCCCTTTGAAGTGACCAGTTTTGAACACTAACATTTGAAAACCCTTCAATATGTTTTTCACTCCAAAGTGCCCTCTGGGGGCAGATTTATACCATTTGGAATATCCTCCTCCTTGTTTGATGATTAATAAACATGAGGAGCGTTACTTGTATCCAAAAAGTAGGAGCTCGACATGGCAGACATAATCCAAATGCCTCACAAAATGCAAAGGCAGTGTTTGTGGTGGCTTAAGACATACAGGTACACTTTTAGACTTAAGACTTTTTGTGTTGTATCTGGTTAAGACACAGTGTAATTTTTTATGCCTCATAACAGATTGTTATTAATCATTGGTGTTACATTTATGGTGCTACAGGTCTATATTAGCAGATGATTAACCTGTAATTGATTAATGGCATTGATGACAGTAATTATTTCACAAGACGAGACATATAGTGACAGTGGACAGTTAAAGCAGCTAGTGGCTATACAACACAACATCTAAATCCTACATCTAGAGACATCCAAGCCTGTAAATCAACCTTCAAATGTAAACGTTTATAATTTCTTAGTTTTATAAGATGATGCAGATTCATGATTGTGATTAGCACAATTATTTTGTCAATTTTTCAACACGTATGCAAAGAAGCTCTAAAACTGACAGTTACATCTGTAGTGTGCTCGCTGCAAAAGAAAACACAACTGTATTCAGAAGGGAGGGGTGATATTTTTTATCCAGGAGTAAAGCTGCTTAACTATGATCTAGTGAAGCGTGGCGGCAGTAGAGCCGGGATGGGGCAGGCTTGGTTGAATGAGTGTCTGAAACCATTCACAAATTTTCAAAGCGGCCCGTTTGCTAGAGCACACAGAATTTCTGCATGGCCGCACGGTAGACCAGAGCTCACCCTGGGAAAAGCTTACACAATGCAGCGATGCTCTCAGGCAGAACAAACCAGTCCACAAAGAAACAAGGTACGCAAGACACCAAAGCCCTCCAGCAGCATGGGACGGGTCGTCCATGTCTCATATCTCGAAATCTAACAGTGCAAAAACATGTACAGTGGGGTTCAAAAGAAATGGGTCCACTGCTTCTGTTTGGCTTTCTATTTTGCCTAATTTAAATACATTTACATCAGCATAACAATTTGAGTCCAGAGTTAAATTGTAAAATGCAAATTAATTTCAGTATTTAGTTTGTACAGCCTTTGCTTTAAAGAAATAGTTTACCCAAAATTTGCTGAAAATGTACTCACCTGCAGGTCATCAAGACATGGATGAGTTTGTTTTTGCATATGAACAGATTTATTCAAATTTAGCATTACATCAATTGCTCACAAATTGATTCTCTGCAGTGAATGGGTGACGACATTAAATCGTTGGTTCTAGCCAAAATATGTCTATAACCCATAATAATGCTTTCTTTAGTTACAAATTCCTGTCCCTCTCACATCAAAATCCACCGTAACATTTGTCAAAATATTAGAAAATGTATTATTTTCGTTTGTAATCGGTGCTTGATCTGTGTACAGTCTGTGCATATTTCACTCCTGATTCAAGCAAGACAACTTTTTCACTGGAGAAAGCAATATTATGGGGATAGAGGTTTCATATTTTAGGCGGAAGCAATGGTTTTAAGTCAAAAATGTCTTGATGGATTTATTACAGACATGCAACTTACATTACTTGTGGATTATTGTGAAGATTTTATCAGCTGTTTGGACTCTCATTCTGACGGCATCCATTCACTGCAGAGGATCCATTGGTGAACAGGTAATGTAATGCCATATTTCTCCAAATCAGTTCCGATAAAGAAACAAACTCATCTACATCTCACAAGTCCTGAGAGTTCTCAAATTCTCAGCAAATTTACATTTTTTGGGTGAACAATCTAGAATTTTGCACCACACTGTACAGTACATACTCTTTGATAACTAAAAGCAGCACACCTGTTTACCGGTGCAAACTTGAACCGAGCAAACTAAATATTGTTTGTACTCACATTAAGTAATCTACAATGCTTTATTTGGCTAAAAATCGAATGGATGTCACGTGAATGATTAAATGAATCATGCATTTAGTTCACACAGATTTTGGCGAGGGTGAGTGAAGCGAGACAGGTGGGATGGGACGCGTGAGACAGACATCAGACAGATGGACAGACCTGTAGCTCCTCAATACGTCTCTGTAACACATCGAGACTGTTGCTTTTAAACTGATGGAAACCATGAGAAGGAATTGCCTGAACAAACACCAAGACACGGGATGAAACAGAAAGAAAAACTCAAAGGAGGCAAAAACAAGGCAAAATATGAGCAATGGCACAACCCTGATTGAGTAACAGGATGAATGACAAAAGGAGAAACTAGTTTCTCACCTGTGGCGGCAGTGAACCACCTCTCTTCTTCCATGTGAGGGCAGGAGTGGGACTGCCAACGGCCCTGCAGTACAACCGCAAAGTCTCACCCTCGTGAATTTCCACCCGCGGAGGGCTCACTTGTACATGGGGTAGACCGTGAGGTTGACTTGTACCTGAAACATCAGTTATAAAGTAAAGGAGAACTCACTTGTCAGCTTCATGAGCTTGTTACACTGTAAATCTTGAAGTATCCTGGTGTACTTTGAACATGAAGAACTCCTCGGGCTGTGTGCTCGCCATGTGTGTTCAGAGCCTTGCAGATGTACTCGCCCTCATCCGAGTGATCCACAGATGGGATGATCAGCAGCCCATTACGAATGACAGCTTTTGAACTGATCCGTTTCCCAGGACCTCCTGACAAACACCATATCATAAGAGAATTCAGGAGTCAGGAAGGAACAGTTGATGTTATGTGGGAATACCTAACCACACGACCAGATTGAAAACTCAGTATCTTCATCAACAAACAATGCTTTCCATGATTTCAAGGTAGGACATGTTCTTCAATCCACACCCTTGTTGGTCCAGCAACAACATTCTTATCTACCAGTCAGATTTTGAGGACTGGGCAAAGGAAATTAAAAAGGGTTAGGCTTCATCTCAGTTTTTCTAGCCCCCTTGTGAAAAATAAGTGTGCTTAATTGAATTCTGTGAGCTCTTGTAGTGTACTTTAAATCTTAAAAGTATACTTAAAAAAAACTGAACTTGCAGACATATCAAATAAAAGGTCACTTAAGTGCAGTTAAAGTACACTTCCATGTTTAACACACTTAAGTACGTTGTAATGTGAAATTAAAGATTTTTATCTTAAAGTACATCTTAAATCATTAAATTTTAAGAATCTTTTGTTGTGCTTCAAATAAGTACACTTATTCCATTGTGTTGACTAACAAAATAAAGCACATGTACAGTATTTAATTTATAATTTTAACTGTCAAGTGTTATTCTATATTAAATAAAAAGTTAATATATTTTAAATGTACTAAAATATACCAACAGTGCTAACCACCGAGCCACTGTGCTGCCCCCTACTTACATCAAATTGCATTTAATATAAATATTACACTATAAACATTTTCATTTAACTGCAACTAAGTGTCTGAAAACATTGCATTCAATATGCTCTTAAGTATATTCTTTTAAAGTATATTATTTCCATAAGTATGCTGAACCCTTTTAAAAAAGTAATATATTTAAAATACATTTCATACTAAGTATAGTTTAAATCTATTAACATGTTTACTGATATATCACTCAAGACTTACTGATATAAAAATTATAATTAAACTTTATTTGGAGTACTATTTGTGCACAATGCACATTTCTTAATATTAAGCTTAAAATGTGTTTTAATGTCACTAGTGATGAGGATTGTATGATCTTTGAATAATATCGCTCTTTAAATGCAAGATATTTAAAGTGTACATAAAGTATACTTGCAATAGTTCCGCTTTAGCAAACTTCAGTATATCTTTAGTTGGACTTCAGCACTACTTGTGCAAAATTAAAGTGCATTAAGTACAAAATTAGTTGTTCCAATTTAAGTATGCCAGTTTAGTATACCAAAAGTACAATTGCAGGGTATTTTTATTAAGTACATTAATATGTAAATATATTTGTATATACTTAGCATGAAATAGATGTATTTCAAATAAATTTGAGTATATTTATTTTTCACTAGGGAATTGTACTTCTTTTGCAGGAATGTAGCTCTAGGGCCAACATAAGATCACATGTCCTATAACCAAGTTCTACTTGGCATAATCATAGTAACCACAAATTAATATATTAATTTATATTTTCAAATGTAAATTGGCTCACCTATCCATTCCACAGCAGGGGTGGGGTTGCCGGTCACTGTGCAGCGGAACTCTGCCCGCTGGCCCTGTTGGACTGTCAGCACAGGTGGATTTACTGTGGCCACCGGCTGGGCCCCTTCAGTAGCTACAGTGAGGTAGAAACCAGTTAATCACAGACAGGAGTAGAGCACTTCAAACTGAAGTACCAGTCATTACAGATAATACCTATTCAGAACAGACCTTATCCTCTCTTGATGACGGAAGAGGTCAAGAACATTTTCAGTGAAATTAATTTCTCATTCATGGTCTAAATGTCATGCTAATTAATTGATCATGTTTTTTCACATTTATCATGCTGTGTGGTCTCTATCATAAGCACTAAAAATACAAAAAGGCAAATGGATGGAAAACTGAAAACAGCTCTACATTTGGGAAAGGTCTGTTTGTGAGGGTGTTTATGAACTGATAGTGGTGTGACAGCATATGCAGCGTGTGTCTGGCTGCCAGAGATGATGGTCAAATCATGTCTCTTGGCAGCCAGCTTGAGGGGATGAGAAATGGCAGATGGGGCTTGGCAGGGCGAGGCCCTCACTGCTGTCCGTGCCAACTTGGCTGGACGGCGAGCCCTCGATCTATAGGGATTCCAGGGCAAGAGAGCAAAAGAAAGCTTGCTTTCACCAACTGGGGTGGACTACTGGTCTGTGTAAGCTCTGTGTTAAGCTCCAGTCTGCTTCTCAGTGACTGAACAGTGCTCATTTAGCTGCCTTGGCATTTAAGCATTACTTTTTCCATGATGGGCTCACGAATAGAGTTCTTATTTTGGTCCATAACTCACAAAAGTACTTTTTTGTGCATGAGATCTATCTACCCACCCATCTAGCGGTCTACACCTCTATCTCTCTGTCTATACACCCAAACATATAGCGGTTTACTCACCCCTTTATTCATCCACTCATTTATCTACCCACCTGTCTACACTATCTACCTGCTCAGCTATTCATTTGTCTACCCACCCATCTATTTCTAACTTTCCATCTACCCAACTATCTGTTTACCCAATCTTCTCCGTCTACATGTCTATATACCCAACCTTTTGTCTATTCACCCAACCATCAAGCCGTCTACCCATCTGTCAACCCATACACCTCTATCTATATAACCATCAAATCTATCTGTCTATGCATCTATACATTCACCCAACCATCCAGCTGTCTACACATCTATCGATCCAACTGTCTACCCACTCATTTTTCAACTTCCATCTACCCAATCCTCCCTGTTTACTCATTTATCCATCTATCTACCCACCCATCACTGTCTACTACCCCATATACCTTCTGAACTATTCATTTGTCTACCCACCCATCTATTTTCAACTTTTCCATCCACCCAACCATCTGTTTACCTAATCTTCTCCGTTTAACTACACTTTTGTCTATACATCTCAACATCTACCCACCCATCTCTGTCTATACCATCTACTGTACTGTATATAACCACCCATCTATCGTCTACATAGCCATCCATTCACCCGACCATCTACCTGTCTACACATCTATCAACCCAACCACATATCTGTCTACTCACCCCTTTTTCAACTCATCTAACCTATCCTAGCCGTCTACTCATTTATCATCTACCCACCCATCTCTGTATACACCATCTATCTACCCACTCCACCTTATCCATCTACCCAACCATCTATTTAATTACCCAATCTTATCCGTCTACTCATGTCTATCTACCCACCCTTCTATCTATACATCTCCATATGTATCTACCCAACCATCTAGCTGTCTACCCACCAAACTTTCACCTCATTCATCCATCTATATAATCACCTACTGTATCTATCTGTCTCCATATCTATCAGTCCACCCAGCCATCTGTCTACCCATGCAGGTATGTCTACACATCTATTGACCAAACCATATAACGGTCTACCCAACCATCTATTTTTCAACTCATCCATCCATCCTTCTCATCTACCAATCCATCTTTCTGCCCACCCAACCATCTACTCATCTTTTTACCCACTAATCTTATCAGTCTGTCTATCCACCCATCTATCTGTCTATACATCTGTGCACCCCCTAAACTATCCACACCCTTAGTCTCCTATTCACAGAGGCGGACAGTAACTAAGTACATTTACTTGAGTATTGTACTTAAGTACACTTTTTGAGTATCTGTACCATCAACTTATCTATTTACACTCCCAAATTCTATCTATACATAAACCCATCAATGCATTTATCTATTCACCTACTCTATTATCTATCTAACCACTTACCTATCTACCATTTCTCTACCAATCTGTCTACTCACCCATTTGCTTATATATCCTGTCTACCTAACCATCTATTAATCTACCTATCCATCGATCACCATAAATCAATTAAATTCATACTAAAGTCAAACCATCTTTTAAATAGTGTCTATAAAATTTGAGAGAGCCTAGTTCAGTGCACTGGACATGTACGCATGAGTGATGACCATTATAAATGAGGCATAGTATTATCTTTGAAGAATAATGGATGTTATTTGATATCTGATATACCTCAAAATAGTCTTGTATATCAAAAGCATGATACTGGGCTGATGAAATGTGTGGGGGACCCCTCTCTGTTAGGTAACAAGTGTGATGTTTGGTGGTTTGGTCACGTATAACAGCATGCACCTTGAAGCACATCATGCAAAAAGAATTAACCTTACCAATCTGATACAGAACTGGTCTTGAGCACCAAAAAATCTGTTACAGACAAATTACTAATAAAATAAGAATCATACAAGACACTTCAGCAACAGAGAGAAGTCCCCAAATGTGTAAACATGCAGCTTCACTGTTTCAATGGACCCATATGAGTCTTGAAAGCTTAGCCATATCAAGTAATGCTTCTGCGTACAACAAAAAACACACGTTCAGTATGTGAGCAAAATGTGGTCATAAACAGGATTAACATTAAAATAATAAGTATGTATAAAACTCTGGTGGTCATTAAGCTATTTTTGTAATATTAGCACCATGCTCGTAGTTTGGTTGTACCTTGGCACTACTTGAGATGGTAAAAGCATGCAGGGAGTGAAGGTTGCATGCGTGAAAGGAACAGGTCCTTCCAGGCCTGGAGGGAGAGAACCATGTGGACTTACGCTTTCTATGTCCTTCAAACATCTCATAGGCTGTGTAAAACATCTGTGACTGAGTAGCCTCTGTGAATGATGGACAGGCAGATACTGTCAAGTGAGTCTCCAGAAGGTTCTGTGAGAGTGGCGCACTGGTACCTCCAAGCATTTCAATGTGATTTAAAGCATATGCCACTCAACTTAGAGCCTTCATAACTTTTGAGCTCTAGATCGAGTGTGCAACAACTTGCATTTCTTTTGTTGCAATGCTGCTGTGAAATTATACTTTAATAGGTGGGGACTAAATTATCTCTAGATAAGTTTAGGCAAGCTTACATTTTATATTTCCATGAAAGTAAATCATGTTTTAACAGGTAGCTTTACAAACATCTCAAAATGCCTGAGGTTGATATAATTCACATACTAATTACATCAGTACGTGTCAAATTTTAAATCATGTTTCAAAACTAAAAAAAAAAAAAAGTCTCAAATATGATATGATACAGATATGATTTCTTTTTACCTTTTATATCTGGACTTTTGACTGAGATATACAGCACATAAAGCTTATTTGTACAAGGAAGCTACTCATTGGCTTTTTAGTAAGGCAAATGAAGTTCTTCCCAATTACACAATTATGCTCCAGTATCATTGATTTACAGCACTTGTCATGTTAGATTGTAGTCAATGGTGGAAAAGTTCATGAAGAATAGTTGCTGTAAAATGGCAAGCAATAGTTTGCCCCATTGAGAATCAAAGAAGACATTTAGAAGACATTTTAAAATGAGTGTAAGGTAAGCACACTGTCTGTGTAATTAAAAGAGGAGTGGAGGAAACAGCACTCAGATGAAATCAAAGCATGCAGGTTAGTATCAAAACACAACACATGTAAAAGCTTTACCTCGGTATAAACATTCATATTGTATTTTCTTTGAATACAGCTTGTGATTGAGAAAAGTCTATCTTAGGATTTCAGTTTCATTCCACAGAGCGAAAGTGTTTTACCTGTTATTATTTTAATATGTTCACCATTTAAACAATCATTTGTACATACATTTCACAGTTTAGACAAATCAAATACAATGGAATCATATCATGCTTGATTGAAAAGAAAATCAAAAAAGGAAAACTTAAAGCACCATTCTAGTGTAAAACATACATATTGAAAAAGAACAAAAACAATGCAAAAACACAAATGCATGAAAAATTTTTGAAAGCTGTTTTAACATACACATGAAACCTTAAAGTCAACATAAACATCATTTCTGTTATAGTACTCACTGTGTTTGTAAATGTAAACCAAAGTTATTTTTTACAGTAGTTTGTCAAACCAGTCAAAATAAATATGGAATTAAGTTCTAAGCAATAACTACAGTACACATCTCTGTCGGCAACATTTGAAAGGCATTATCTATGAAATGTCTCTGCTTACTACTAGATATAATTGAGTTTACAAAACCTGTAAAGAAACGGTTGCATTTGAAATGCTGAAACATAATATATATATCAAAAAAAAATCTCACTGCCTAAACCACTGGCAGTTTCCAATCCATTTAGATGACCAAAAAGAGAGAAGAAAAAGAAACAATTCGAAATGGAAAATATGACACTCGTGGAAAAAGTCAACATTCAAACTACTGCACTATTAATAGCACCATTTTCAAATACAAAATTTAAGAACATTTCCATGACAAAATAGAGTTGGAGTCAGGAACGGGCTTGTGCCTGCAGTCCTTTTGGTTGACGAGTCCCAGTATTTATGACACCTCCCTACCTTATAAACCACCTATCCCCAAAAGACCACCTCAGGAGGGAAATGACAGTAAACATGCCCGGAAATTAAGACACAAATCCCCCACTAGTAAGAAGATTGACACAGAACCACCACCATGACAACACCCAATTACACCAGCAGCTGATTTCACTGACCGCTACTAAGAACACTATGCATGAATGTAATGCATATTAGACTGAAGATTAGTCAAATGAATAGGCCTTATTCATGAAACACAAGCAAAACAAATATCTCTGCAAATTACACATGAATCCATTTGATGTAAATTTCATATATTCAATTTAATGTGATAATTCGTGTAAAATATTTGACAACATTTTTGCTCAATGTCAGCGTGCAAATTATAATTTCTGTGTAAATCAAAAATGCATCACTGAATGTAATATAACAATTTACATAAAAATGGATCTTATGAACAATTTGCACAAAATATGTTGAGCTCATGTTTCACTGTGCAATTGCATAATATTCTGAACCAAAAACCAACTGCTATTGAGAAAACATTTTTATCAAACGTTTAATATGATTAAACTGACGTCAGTCTTCATGGGAGTCTGTTTTGTGCGCTTGCTTTGATATGTGAGTCACATAACAAAATGAGCATCATGGGAATTTATGAGAAGTCCTTAATTAAGAGCATTGAAGAACAAATTCTAAGCTTCCAATATTCATGACTAAAAATCTGCTTTTTGCTTAGGATTTTAGCTTGCAACACCCTTTGTGAGCATGAGAAAAAAAAATCATGAATTTGTATTAAGAAATCTTTTTTTATTTCAGGTGCTGGATTAGATTTGATTGAAAAAGCATTTTCTGAGATTTAGTTATTGAGTAAAGTTTTGCTTTTCATTCACAAGCTGTATCAATTTGTCTGGTGTAGAGATTTTACACTGGCAACATGAGAAGCCTTTTAAGTTCGTGTAAGTGGGAAAAAAACTCAGGAAGTAATCAAAAAGCACTTTTTTTTTTGATTAATGCGATAATTGAAACACAAAACGAAGAGTTAGCCATGCCATTGTCCATAAGACAAAGCAGAATTTTGCACAAACAGCACAAAAATGGGGCAATGAAGAAAAGCAAAGAGACGTGCAACTTGAGAAAGACAGAAAACTAAAAGGCAGGGAGGTTTAGAGGATGTGGTGCCAGTCACAAACCTGGGACATAGAGTCTGGCTGTGCCCTCATCCATGCCAAGCATATTGGAGCCCGTGCAAACATAGATGCCTGTGTCCTCAGGCTGCACGTTATGAATGGTCAGGATTCCATTGAAATCCATGGCCCGGTTAGGCAGCTTGCCGTTGCCTTTGCGGGTCCAAACCAGGGTGTACGCTGGCAGCTACGAGAGAAGCACATGTCCTCAAATATTTTCACTTACAGTCATTCATACTCACAGCCAAATCCTGCTCTCTCTCTCTCTCGCTGCCCCATCTGTTTGGAAGTCAGGGAGGCTAAGATTATGTCTGTGATGGATGTGTGCGCAGATGACATTCATACCTTGCTTTTGGCAGTGCAGATGAAGCTCACTGTAGATCCCACCGCCACATTCTGTCGTTTGGGCTCCTCGATAAAGACTTCAATAGGTTTGGATGGTAAGGCTGGTGAGGGAAATGCGGTATGTCAATCCAGAAAGAAAAATGTTTTTGTACCTTGACCAGTGTGTCCCAAAAAAGGCAAAATTAATAATAAAATATAAATATTACAAATATAAAAATCAAAAAAATTAAGTTTGAGAACACTAAATGACTCAATATCATCAAATTCATACTTGGTTCATCAAATGTATACATACTTGAACACCTCACATTATCCAAATTCACAAATATGTTAATTCTTTAATGAGCAATCCCAACCAGGTTTTTGTTCTACTGTAAATGCATCTTGAGGGTAAAGCAAAAGCAACCTTTAAAAACTAAATTGAAAAATGTTGTGCTGTCACATTTAATCAGTGTAAAGTGAAAGACTAGAACAATGTGCATATTGTGTTTTTTATGGTAATTAAAAAAAAAAACACCTTACTTGTAACAACAATTTCTGCTTTGCTTCTATTGGAGCTGCGCTGGTCTCGGCAGGTGCAGATGTAGACGCCAGCATCACTGGGCTGCACACTGGGAAAATGCAACTCCTCTCCTGCGATGTGGTATGAAACGGTTTCCCATGCTTATGAACACACACACTATCACTTGTGCTGTTATATATGCTAAAAAAAGGTCTGAACTTTGTCTTTTGAACTTTCAATTCCTTAAAGACACCTGCAAAAAGCTATCAAAAAGTTTTCAGCATTTATAATAATAAATGTATTTCTTGAGCAGCAAATCATATTAGAATGATCATGTGACACTGAAGACTGGCTGCTGAAAATTCAAAAATGCCATCACAGAAATAAATTAAATTTGAAAAAGTTATTTTAAATTGTAAAAATATTTCTGTTTTTATTGTATTTTGGGCTTGATTGTAATATACTATGGTACTTGCTTCTCCACAAAGTAGATATGCAATATGAAGCATTTAATTCTATTTTTGGTGCTTGCTTTCTACAGAGGATTCATTTGTGACGTCTTGAGAGATCCTGTACTAGTCATCTGAACATGCTTGCAGGAATGTGGGCAGCACCTTGTCTGCGTCTCTCTGCTGTGCTGGAGATTGGGCGTCCATCCTCACGGGACCAGTGGAAATAGTGTGGTGGATATCCAGACACCTGGCACCTGAGAGTAACTGGAAGCCCCCGTGCCACCTGAACCCTTTCTGGATACACCTTCACCACTAGAGACGCAGCAACTGATGACAGACAAACACACTCTACTAGAATCTGTCCAACAGAAATGCTGTTTCACAAATGCAGGGGCCCATAAATGTGCCTCAACCGTTTGCGTAGAGACCCCATTAAGGCAATTGAAGATTTGAAACAGGAAAATGGGGCATCCCTTTTTTTGAACTGCCAATCACTCATAATTTGCTAATGGTTTCCAAAGTGGTATTGTGGGTATGTGTGTTCATATGCATAATTTATTAAACATGCATAGTCTGCTTTTATGAGCTCACTAGCATATAGATGCTTAGACCTCCAAGCAAAATGACTTCGGCTGAAAATCACAAACCTCCAATTTTGATTTCATGGAGTCATTAAAAGTAATAGTAAATGAACAGATACCACTACGGCAGGGGATTCTCGCTTGTGGATTTCCAACATATCCAGGCGCACAGCTATGGAGAAAGAGGAGTATCACATTAAACATTGTAGTGATAATAATTGTGTCTAAACGCGCCTTACTGAATTCCATTGTAACAGCACAGGAAGCGTGAGCATACCGTTCACAATACTGGCCGGTGTAGCCGGGCTGACAGGCAGTGCACTGGTAGCCTCCGTTACCCAGACTTTCACAGGTACGAGAGAACCTGCAAATAAAACGACTATTAAAAACCTTGCTGCAAGTGAGGCAGATATTGTGAAAGCAGGAGCTGGCAGGGTCAGGTTAAGACTAACTGATTGTCGGGGTCAGTGCCGGGGCAGGCACATGCTTGGCAGTCCTCAGGGGTTCCAGCAGTTGGATCTCCAAAGAAGCCGTCAGTACACTGTTCACACAGCTCACCCTTGGTGTTGTGTTGGCAGTTCTAATGATCAAAAAGATATCACATGTGGTATGGATTCCTTTTATAAGCGTGAGTAAAGGCAATATATATTTAAATATTGATTTGATTTTAGTTCGTTTCTAATATTTATTCAATTTATAATATACATTTTTTGATAATTTTGAATGAAATGCAACTATATTATTTTGTTTCTCTCTTCCATCTACAATTGACACTTTAACTCTAGCACTCTGTTCTATTCTTATTTTATCTACTTGTTTTCTTTTTATTTAAAAAAAAACTTCACCCTCTAACACTAGTGTTCTTTATTCTTTTTCTATTCTATCTACTTGTTACTTACTTATACACACACACACACGTTTGCATGACATTCAATTTGTTAAAAATATTGTTTTCATGACTAAATACATATTAAATAATTATTATATGTTAGTTTATTTCATTTTTGTGCTACTTATTTTTTTATTGTATTATATATTATACAGAAATACATCGGTACTGTATACTGTACAGCTCAAGTTGAGTAAAGTATTTATTTCATTAGTATGCAATGCAATAATATTATTTTGTTTACATATCTTTTCAACTTGTGAGTAAAAGCAACAGTGATTTGTTTATGTATCTATCTATCTATGATGCTATTAATATTATTTTAAATATTTATAGTATATAACAGTTTTTAGATGCAGTGCAGTGTAACTATTATATTATCGTAATATATTATTATAAGATTAAATAACTATTTCATTTATTTATTTACTTATTTTATAAAATTATTTCCATACATATTGTATTATATTTTATACAGACATATATTTGCTATACTGTACTGTTCATACTGACTAAGAGAGAGCAAAACTCTCATATGAATGGGATTGTGTTAATGCCTTAAAGCATTCTGGGACACACTTCTTTTAAAGAACTGCTGGTAAAGCTTCATACTGTGCAAATGCCAGTCTCTGGGTGACAGGAGTCCGAGTGGCCGTTACAGTCACATGGCTCACAGTGGCCAAGGTACAAGCCTCCTCCTGTGCGAGTGTATCCAGGAGTGCAGTCCTACAGAACACAGAGACAACGGACACATGTCTGGATTGAGTAATACTGTCATCATCATCACTCTAGCATGGAAGCAAGCCTTTACTACGATTCATCCAGTTGGTCACAGAGCAAAGCTGCATTGTTTCTACCTGGCAGGACAGACCACGGTAACCAGGAGGACACTGGCACTGCTCCACCTCCAAAGCCTGGGCCAGGCCAGTGTACTCAGGCACAGCGATATCCATGCGGACCCCCGAAATACTGGATGAGCGCATCTCTGTGTGATACGAGGCACGGATCAAGATGTCATCGAGGTCCGCGAGCACCATCATCAGGTGTTCCCGGGTTGCCAGCATGCCATCAGGACGCTGCCAGTGTTCCTACAAACAAAAAATCATCCCTGTCATGCTAAACCATATGTCTTGCTTCAATATGAATAACGTAATGGATGAATGGGCTGTCACCTCTCTGAAAACAATCTCAAAGTCCTGTGACTCTTGGGCTCCATGCCCTCTTCTCCATGGTTGGCGTGCCACCAGCGTGATGTCATTACCCTGTAGAAATAGTGACGAACAATAGTGGTCAAACCTTAAAAGAAAACCTATATATAACATACACACAACATCTGCTATCAAACTCACAATAATCTGAACATCAGCATCTTCTATTGGAGAACCTCGGGGTCCTGGCACATAGGAGATGGTATATTTCAGCTTTCCACCATATGCGCCAACCTACATAAGGATCAAAAACATTCAATCACAAAAAGCATTGATATAAAGTATAGCATGAGAAAAGTTTGACATTTGTATATGAATCATAACTACAAACAAAAAACCTGCTGATAAAACCTGCGAAAAACCCAAAATGATAATATTTTATAGTGGTTTTATTTCTGACCTTTTCATTTAGGGCTTTTATGTGGTTGAACGAAAATAAAATAAAAATGTATTCAAAACAAAATAAAACAAAAACAAACAGAACAAAACAAAAATATGCCCTAACCAGCCACAAATGCAACAAGTGACAGGACAAGTAAAATCTAATTTGTCTAAAATCCTGCTGTGGATATGAGCCTCTACAGCAGCACTTTGTCCTGTCAGCACCACAGTAATAAGCGCTCTAGACGATCTAAAGACGATGGAACGATCTTCCCACCCTATCCGGAATGCTGAATCCCTGACAATTTTCAAGCGACAGCTGAAAACTCATCTCTTTCGAAGCTTCAGGCTGTCAAATGGAATAGCCCAATGAAAATGTAATATATTAGTGCCGTCAAATGATGTCAGACGATTAATCGCTTCCAAAATAAACATTTTTGTTTACATAATATATGTGTGTACTGTGTGTATTTATTATGTGTATATGTAAAGACACACACATACAGTATATATTTTGAAAATATTCACATGTATATTTATGTTAATATAGCGTCTGCTAAATGACTAAATGTAAATGTAAATGTAGACATGACGTGATTACACCAGGTTGATTTGTTTAGATTAATAAGTGATGTTTTGGCTTGCCCATCTATCCCACCTTTGGCTCAGGTAGTGATTCAGTAATGTCTAAGGTGGATCAGACAACCTGGGGGGGATCAGCAGTGGGCGGGCCTGAACCCATCCATGTGTTTACCTTATCCCCTTTGAACTGCTCCGGGAGCTGCCAGAAGAGCACGTCATCTGGGTGCAAGCTGAAACCATTGTAGACCAAAACATACTGGAGAACAGGCGGAAGGAAATATGTAAAAGTGTGGATGAAGGAGAGACAGAGAAAAGTAGCAGATAAGCAAAGCAGAGAGGAAAGTATGAGAGAAAAAAAATCTATTCCTGTCAGTCACTGACCAACTGTAACTTCAACAACTTCATAAAAATTCTTACAATCAAATATGGTAGTTAGAAATAAGAAGAGTTGGGAATTGAGAATTTGGTTTACTATTTTTTTTAAAAGTCTATTCAAGCTATACCTACAGGGAAACATTTCTGATTATTTTCAATGTTAAAAACAGTTGTGCTGCTTAATATTGTTTTTGGAAACTTTGATTATTTTTTTCACTGGTGACTACCTTGTTAGAAGGGCCAGGCCGTGGACCTCTAGGGAGAGCAACAGTGTTTTTTCCCTGTTGCACCTGCTGATAAGACCAACATCCAAAGCAAAAATCAAACAACATATCTTTGTTATCACAAGAAAATGTTTACTAGTGTAAACTAAGAAAGTGCTAAGCTACTAGCTACTGCATGAATGACAAATAGAGTAACTTTTTTTTAATGTGTGTGTGTTGCATTTTAAGGTGATAATTCATCCAAAAATGAAAATTGTCACCCTCCTTTCATCCCAAACATATATGACTTTCATCTTCGGAACACAAAAGAAGATCTGTTGGGGAAATAAAGTTTTTCTTTGTCCTTACTAGGGTTGTGCCAATAGACGATAGTATCGTGTATCGACGATAGTCAGAGATATCATCTGTGGCTGATGCCTTTGACGATAGCATAACAATTATTACTATTATTATCAGGCTAATATTATTAGGCTTATTTGTTCCGTAATTTCTGCGTTTTACAGTGTTGCGCCTTATAACCAATCAAACACGTTTCCGATGAGTTTATGAATGCACTAGCCAATCAGAGGCGTTCAGATGAGTCATCGCTGAAACACCAGAGTTTTGTTGTTGAGTGCGCACTCGCTGACTGTATTCTGCTCACTCACGAATTCTCTCATCATAAACAACAAAGTGCAGACATACGTGCAATGTAAGCATAAGAGATTTATTCTTCACTGATTATAACGGGAGTGTTTTTTTAAAGTGCACAAATTTGCGCTAGACTGAAGTCGGTGACGATGTTCTTTGATCATGTAAATGTTCTTTGCTCATTTTCTGTAGCTGCTGTTTGAATAACTGTAACATACAATGTTTTTATTAAATTGTTATGTTAAATACAAATTCGGTCATATTAAAAATATTTTATAACACCATGCTACTTGACTTTTAGCCTGGAGTTGGTTCACTCTCCGGCTATGAATCCAAGTAAGTAAATAATTAAATAAATTAGCATGATAATATTGTGTATCGGCGATCTCATAGGCTGACAATAGGACGATAAGACTATGGAGCATATCACTCAACACTAGTCCTTACAATAAAGGTCAATGGAATCCAACAATATTTTGAACCCCATTGATTTTCATTACATTTTACTGAAATATCCTCCAAAATATCTTCTTTTGTGTTCCACGAAATCATACAGGTTTTTAAAGACATGAGGATGAGTAAATTATAACAATTTGGATTTTCAGAGTGAACGACTACTAGTTAATGACTAGCCCAGGTGTAATCCTGACATGAGCCACCAGTGAGAGCACACAGTACCTGAGTTGAGTCAGGGTGAGAGGAATGGCCTGGGTCATTTGAATGGGACTCAGAGACCCTTAAAGAGGAAGTTAAACCAGAATGGAAAGAAGGGGCACGCACACTTGACCGAGACAGAGAACTCTGGGCCTCAAATGAAGAATGGGAAGTTTGAGAGGATGAAGAGAAAGGGAAGGGAGACTGCCCATTGGAGAAATTAGTGATGATTGCCCAGATTTCATCATCAAGTTTGCGTACTTCATCAGCAGGGTGCTAGTGAGAATAAGACAACGGATGGAACAGGAAATATAGTGACTCAAAGGCTTTGTTCAGATAGGCAGCAAATATTAGTGTTTATAACACAAATCCATTCAGTTTGAAGAGCAAGAAACAAAGAAGCCTAATTTAAAAAGTTGGTCAGATAGAATTTAAATTCTATTTATATTTCATTGTGGACACAGTACATACTGTATGTAAAATGCCTCTGGTTTGTTGTTTGAGAAAATTACAGTCATTATTATAGTAATCAATGAACACTGCTGCTCAAAGTTTGAGGTCAGAAAGATTTAAATACTTTGTTTCTTCAGCAAAGATGCATTAAATTGACCAAAAGTCACAGTAAAGACATTTATAATGTTACAAATGATTTCTATTTAAAATAAATGCAAATAAAATAGTCATCAAAGAATACTAAAAAATGCATGACCGTTTTATTTGCA